AACATTAAATTATCATCATTTGTAACATACATTCCTGTGTAATCTACAATGTGTCAAGTCTTATCAATATTTCCCTATAAATCATTAATTCATCATTGATTTATAACTCATACATTAACCTGTAAAATGCTGCCTATTATTGTCCATTCTAAATCCGTTTTAATTGTTATATTATCTAAATCAGTTTCATGCAAAGACTAAACTCCCGGCAAATGCTGGTACTGCCAGTATCATTAGTTACAGCATTTAGAGATCAGTCTGGCTGTACAAAGGGCCCAGTTGTGAGAAAAGATAAATTTCATACTRTAAAAAGTATGAAAAATAACTACCTGACGTTTCGGACGTTAGTCCTTCGTCKGAGTAAAGGGCACGCAGATAAATTTATGCAACGGGTATGATATATCTATAGGACTCTACACATCTACAGCATAGATGTAATCAGTGATAGTACTATCTGCACTGAATAAGATGGATTCATCGGACCACATAATACTACTTAACCATCTTTTACATATAACCAGCTCCTGTTAGGAGAGATCTCTCCCGAAGATAGGTCACCATGCAGACGGTTGCTAGGGTTAAAATCAAGGCCTATCGATTCAAATAATCACCTGTTACAAGGACCAATACACCACGCCTTTCACCCACCAGAAGGCTGAAGATCACTGTTTTTTTATGACATTAATACAATCTTAATACAGTATTCAATCATCGAAATGAAATGAACAATTCGATCCGATCAACACCAGACACTTGTATATGCCTTCCTCGGAGCATAATCAATTTGATTGAAACATATTTTATTTCTTCAAGAAAAGAAATCCCGTACTCAACATTGATGTATCACAGTCTTACCCTCGTTTATGCATGTTCACTTCGTCACTCAATTTAGACATACACGATCGGTCACACATCAAAACTGTCACGCATTCTACATYACAATTCATTCAGTTTTATCCCACCTCAATTTCACATTCTCAAAATTTTCAAAAATTCTTTATTTCGGTTTGGTTTACCTGATGCTATTTGTTTTATTTCATTTGAAGTCATCACGCATTCTCAGTACAAAGTTTGTAACGCGTCACGCAATTTTTGCGTCACGTCACATAATCATTAACTGAACTTTGTGACATGTCACTGTTACCAGGCGACAAAAGGAAGGGAACAGCATTTAAAAAATTCGTTACCGAAGCTTTGCCCGGTCTCCCTCGACCAGAGGAAGCTGTCATCTGGCGTGCGACGTTACAAAGACCAGACGAGATCGCTCACCCTGAGAGTAAGAATGCCAAATAGAGGTGACCTAGGTCCAGTGATTATATCAAGGGGGGGTTGGAAGGGGCATTTGACCTTTTGTCGTCGTTTGATCCCTTTTGTCAAATTTGTTGTTGCTGGGGTCATGCGACGTACCGATTTATTCATTTCTCTGCTTCATTTATAAAAAAAAAAACATTTGTTCTATTGGCAATGATCATTCGTTCCATTTCTAGCGATCATAATTCATTTCATAGTGATCATTTGTTCGCATACGATTCCACCAATCACTGGACCTAGGGACTGTTTAGACCTGGCTGAGTTTCCTGTTCAGTGTGCACGAAGCATTTGGCATGCTTACTCACCGGAATATGGACGCAATTCATATGTCATCCATGACGTCACTCACCTTAATTTCTGCACATAACGGGAGACTTCCACCGAGAATTTCTGCTGCCATTATTCAAAAATATGTTTTGGGATGTTTTTGTTTTTGTGGGGGATATAAAGCATCTCAAGCTTGTGGGTGTACAACAGTTGCTAGTGCAACTCGAGATTGACCAATCAGAAGAGAGTGTATTCTCTTGATTGCAGTCGGTTGTAATTGGAAAGTGATATAACATTCACTGGGGCACCTCGAGATTAGAGATTAAGTCTTGGTTGACACCGAGGGCACTTTCCTTATAATTTACCAAATGTTAATGGACTAGTCTTGCGAATGACATTGATTGATTGATTCATAAATTTTACAAAATTATATAATTTTTGAGTCATTGAAACAAAAGTAGACTTCCATTCAGACAGAGAAGTTGATCCTGTGTTCCCGAGTCCATTACTGCATGGTGTTATAGCTTCATATTAATCTAGAAAAGCACRAATGATACTGAACTAAAAAATGCATGTTAATTTGCCTATTTCAGTCTTACTAACAAATAAAGCGATCTTTATAATCCACGGGTTTCACGATAACAATAATTCCTGGGAATTGAGAAGCTTGTTCTGTAACTTTTTATTCTTCAAGGATGCATTTTCTTGACTTTGTTTTATAATTTCAGCTTCAAAAAGCTCGGGTCTTCCTATAAATTTGACGGCTATGTCCAAGAAGCAAGGAAGCTATAAAGTTCTCAGCAAATTAAAAGCGTAAGTAATTCTGTTCGTTATTCACATCCCTTCCCTTATGTTTGATTTTATTTCCTTTTTGTCTTTCTTCTTCCATTTCCTTTTTCAATGCCATCTTGAAAAGAGGCCTAGCCTTTGACTAGAAGACAAACGTTATCTGTCACTACAAGCTCGAGCAAAGACTTTAAGAGTCATTCTTTCAAGAATACGATTGGAACTGGAAGCTGGAGTATTATATGTTTATTTCGCTGCGTTACTTACCGCCCTGCACGTGAAATGTTGGTTGACCAAACATTGTTGCACATTCCGTCATTAGTTTTTCAAGCACGAGATAACATTTGAGAAAACATTTAAAGTGCTACTTGCATGAAAGTGGTCTTATTTCAAAACTTCAAGCGATACAAATATATGACTCATTTTTATCTATTAAAAACAATTGAGGGAAAATATTTGTTTTGGAGTTATCCCACATAAGAACAATTTTGATTCAAAAGATGGAAGAACAAAAGGATGGAGTAGATGACGTCATCTACTCCAACATTTTTTGCTCAAAATATTAAGGATTTGTATCAATATCTTGTTGAAATCTGTTGCTTCATGATTATTAGACCCATATGGATAGGTCTATTTGATTTTCAAGTGTTTTCTAATGTTTTGCAGTTTTCGTCCAAATAGACCTTTAATTGTGCCTTATCACCGAGCCTAGGAATGACCACGACAATGCTCAATAAAATATGCAACTAGATCCGTTTGTACGAAGGGCGAATAGCGCTATCCAACATCCTTAGTACAAACGACTAGTTATTTGATTTAAATACAGACACTTGAATTTGAAATCCAAGTTAGGATAGTTTTTCGATATTTGCTCGTTAGTCACAACATAACCGATTATGGTTTTTCAAAACATTTTTCCCGTAAAAGGGTGCATAAAGCTTCTACTGTTGGATCAAAAAGTTATTCAATCGTTGTTTTCAGCGTTCAAAACTTTCNATTCTAAAAATAGCACCAAGAGGGGTAAATGCCGTTCCAAGAGCTTATGAAGAAGAGGAAGGCTCCTAGTAATGGGCTCCTGAACAATAATTAAAACATTAATTGATAAGAAGAAACAGGGACCGCGGAGTATGGCCGAGGGGCGGCCGAGGGGCGGCCGAGGGGCGCGGCGGTTGGGTTGCCAAAATGACCACCGAATGTTGGATCAAACAGCTGGCAGAATTTTATTTTAAATTTTGAACCTCGGCGGAAATGCGATTTCCAGCGTTTTATGTATTGAATCTACGAACAAATTTTCTTGATACTGCTAAAAGGTATCCGTTTTAGGCGTCAAAATATGACATTTCATTGAATTTCCATTCTCACGGGCAGGATGGTAGAGCTTACTAAAAGCAATTACAAAAATTGGCCAGAAAAAATTACTGGGGGGACAACAGCCCCAGGCCCCTCTTCCCTTCCCCCTGACAAAGCGAAGAAATCAGGACATCGAACTTACTCTTTTTAAGCCTGGTTTGTTGGCTGATGACTGGGCAGCTGTAAGAACGACAGCCACAGAGATCATGACTGCTAGCATAAAGGTCTTCATTTTCTACAATTAAAACAAAAAGAATTTCAGCAGTGCTTTATGGAAATACATCCAATCATGAAATGATATTGTAGGGGTAAAACTGTTACAAGGTCAGATTTTTGGCTTGCTGGTACGACTTGTAAACTTGGGATTTACTCAAATAGAGACGGTACTTGGATCAAATGGTAATAGAATGACACCAACCAAAGCTTTCTTACACCTTGCTACAGCTTCTAACTCTAAGCTATACAAAATGCGAATCTTTCTATATAGTGAATATCTTAGAATGACAGCAAATTGGCAGGCAGCATTGCAATATGGTTGGATAGAATATACGTTTGACATACTTAAGTTTGATTTACTAATGAGGTGTCTAGCCGGGGCTGAGGACAAAAATGCTATACCCCAAGATAGTTTTATGTTCAATCAAAAGATGAAATTAAGACAGAAGTTATTAGCTCTAATAGAGAACCAACTTTCTATCAAGTTAAATTGAAGTGATATGTAGAATACTGAAGCTACAAGGTTTTAAACTAGTAAAGGGCTTTTAGGGTGTGCCTCGAGGTGTAAGGATGGGTCTAGTTGGAATGGTGTAACTTTTAGCAACGTAATGAGCCATGTGGAAATATCCCAGTTTATTTATTTTCGGTCCAGTGTGCTAGTCATTCGCGCGCTGTGATTAGCTAGCGCGCGGTCCGGTTGTTCACGATCTGCCCGGTCCGACGGTATCCTGCAGCTAGGCTGCCAGCAAAGTTGCATAAAATACAAATACAAAAATAAGACCTTGGGCAGTGTTTTCCTATACGGACCTCGCAGCCGGTAAATAACATATATAAATGAAAGGGGATATCAAATAGGTGCCTTGTAGTCTCTTTACGTTGTTAAACTTGGTTCCTGGTTCTGAAGCTTAATTGAACATTCGAATTAATAAGACAGGAAAAAGTGAAAGCTAAGCACGCGGTCACGAATGACTACTTTGAAAATATATGAATATAGAAGTGCTAATGGTATTTCATTAATGTTGTCTTATACCAAAACCATATCCCTAGTAATGAATAGTCTTATATCTATTTTACTCATTGAGAACACTTTCGAAAATTAATTCGTTATTGTGAGTTGTCGGTCTTGGTGAGTATGATGATCAAGAAATCATACATTAGCTTTTTAAAAGGACCCACTCGAAACTCATTACTAGCACTCTGCAAATTTTTCATGCATTTTCAAGAAATTTCATGGATGTGAATACAAATTCAAAACCAGTGTCATTTTGAATCAGTAAATCCGGGACAAGCAAGCCGTCGTGGTGACCAAAATTTCCGAATCATCAAGCAAATGCTTCAGTGATCACATGCACGGCGCAAGTCTCCAAACTCCACGCAAGTTCAACTAAGAGCACCCAAAACCCATCAAACAAGATGACCCGCCAAAGGGAAAATGGCCAGACTGAAACTGAAACCCCGATACACTCCTAAGACAGCAAATTATGGCCTCAGATTTAGTTGTCGAAGTTTAGTGCACACCGTTTTTTCAGATACTGAGCGTTTATATATTACTGTTACCTTTCTACGGAATGCTTTGCTCTTTAATCCTCCTAGAATACGGCTTCCTTGCAGTGAAGTTTCTCAATCAATCACCAACTGATCAGCGCCGTGTAACAACGGAACAGATTTTAAAAGGGAAGTGCAGCGGCGGATCCAGGGGAGGTGCTTTGGGTGCGGACGCACCCCCCCTTTTCGGAAGACATAATTTTTTTATATATCAGTATAAACGTTTTTTTCTGCTGTTTATACTCCTGTTGTACTTTAATCGAGAAAACGAGTAGCATACACAACATGTATATGGCACTATGCTGCTTAACAATCTATTTGAGTAGTGTAATCAAAGATACTTTGCAATAAAAGTCAATCTGTTTCCGGTCAAATTGTGCATAACTTTCTTGCTGTAGGCATTAATACACAGCTAACAAAATGATCACTTCCATCTGCTATACTTAGTTTTTGGCTATATATTTACTGACAAAAACCCCGGGACGGGGACTTTAAAGAAATGTCATGAGGTTGGAGGATGCGTGAACCCCAGCTGCGGTATTTGTAAATGGATTGGCACGAGGTATATATATAATATGAGTGTTGTCAAAGCAAAAAGGCCCGGCTAAAGAACACGCCCGCGACCAGTGGTCCCTAACGTAGAGACTCGAGGGCAAAAGGGACCTTAGCAGCTTTAAAAGTACCTTTTACAATAACATCGCTCATATACATATAGGTACAACAGCTAATCTTCAGAAATTGTATAGAAAAAATATCATCAGATATATAGCACCTGCATAAGGCCTTCAAGGACAAATTTAGAGTTTGTATTGAATAAAGCAAGAGGGTCGCAAAATTTTCCATTTTCCATATACCTTTTTTCAAAGTGGCCAAATCTCTCTTTCGAACATTCTTAGCAAAATGCGATCCCTTGATTGACCAAAACCTTGTCTTGTTTTGATCCCATGGGATCATTCATGGCGTAATACCACAGGTAATCCGCGTTTTGCTAAGAGCTAGTAATATAAAAGCCGATAACATAAAAGCGTGCGCATTCGTTCTTTTTCTTCTCTCAAGCAATAGCTGCATGGGCGGCCTATGGTTGGGCAACCTATGGGGAAGGGTGCCTAGACTCTCCCCCCTATATCAATAATCCCCTAAGGTTCGTTTGATGACCACTATACTACTTCAATTGCAGTGTGCAACAATATTGCGAAAAAAAGCGCCTTATATGGTTAGATATCCATCATGGTGCCTGGATATGGTTTAAAGTCAAGGTGGTGCCTGTGCTGGAGTTCATTTATTATGATAGCACATCATCAATGAGAAAATGTAGTACTTATAACTATATAGAGAATAAAATCTAAATTTTGTATGCAGCGCGCGCTCGTGTTATTGTCTACATACGTTTAAATGCGTCAAGCATACAATAGATTATAGATTGATAGTACCTGTGAGGTACTTGGTTGAAGGTATTTCTGTTCAGACTGAAAGGAGAGAAGCAGATTCGCGCTCACTTTAAGAAATCCTACGAATCCGCCATTTTCGTGTCCACCTAAAATGGCGCTTCGGCTCGCAAGGTACGGCGGTTAGTTATGATTCTTTAAGTCGCTGTGTGATTTCTCTTCAAGACATCGATAACGTAAACGTTTTGTACTGGGTGATTCAATAATTTAATCCATTTGGCCAAGAATCTTTTGATTACATTATATTTAATACTTATCATCAATTCTTTATTTTGATTAATTATTAATTTATTATGACTTATGACATTTCTTAATAGTAGTTAAAGTCCATGTTACAGTGTGCTTTAAAGAACAAGTCATAAAACGTAGAATAGAGCTGAAAAATGGTTTGAAGTTTAGCATAATGTCRGTCTTGTCATTTTTCGCGTGCGACTCAGCTTTAGCGGGAGAGGTCAACACCGTCCCTCTTCA